CTATTATCTGAGCAATACTACTAATGGTATCTCTGGACTATTTCTATGATCAGGAAGCATCTAGGGCAGTAATGAGGGGTTCCGCCGGATCAACCCCCGGCTTAGCTTATGTGTTCTATGATCGCAGGTACCTCAGGATCATCAAGTTGTCAAGCTACTGATCTGCTTTGCTCTCCCAGTTCGTTTTCTACACCACCCTAGGTGAGCTAGTAATTAGCATCATCAATCTTGTACCTGTATGATTGCTGAATGAATTTTTGTTCTTTTTGGCTCTTCGTTTCATCAGTGAACAACCCAAAGAAGTCCGGTCCAACACTAAATGAGACGTTTCTTGGTTTGCTATATCCAACTGAAAACTACAAAGTGTAAGCACGAAGAGTTTTCTCTCTTGTAACTTGGGTTGAAAAAGGAAAATTTTGCAAGTACGATGTGGTACTCATGGTCTAATATGCTTACAGGTATGGGTACTTGACTAATACCAAGGTGAAGTTCATATTGGTTACGACAGATCTTGATGTCCGAGATGCTGATGTGAGAAATGTAAGTGTCACAATTCAGAAATCTTTGTTGAAATTGTTTAACCCATGTTTTGCACATTGGAGAAGTAATCGTATATTTCACTTGTTGCACACCATTTTGTGGTCTCTCTGGCTAAGATACAGAAAATTGTGAACACTAGTTTGTTACTATCTTTAGATTTCTTATTCTGGTTGCTTTGGATCCTAACTTCTAGTCCTGATTGTGCCCGTTTTGCTGATTCACGTATTAACCTTTGGCATTTCCCTCGCTTCATTTGAAAGTTTTCCTGAAAACAATGACACTACATAATACATGTAATCTGGAACTAAATGTGAAACCCAATCACTGAACTTATTTCTTGCTATACATGATTCAGTTCTGACAAGAACTCAAAACTTGTTTCTCGTGTTTCATGCTCTGGAAGATCTTTTCATTGTGTCCTTATTGTATTTTAGCTTTTTGTAAAACCTTCACTGGTCTAAAAGTTTGTTAAATCATTTGGTCACAGCTATTGAAGTGAGCTTAAGTTCGAACAATTTGCTGTCTATGAGTTTTCCAACACTTGCTATTTCGTTGATTCCGGCTCCTATGATTTCTAATTGTGATTGTTATCGGTTAGCTTATATATAACTTTAGATGTTGCTCAGTATCCATAACATGGTAGCTAACATCCTTTCTGTTTTCGGAAAATTACTTCCAGTTTTTCAGGAGGTTCCATTCAGCCTATGTGGATGCAGTTTCAAATCCATTTCACATCCCGGGTAAAAAGATAACTTCCAAGATTTTTGCTGAAAGAGTCAGCACAATTGTCAAGTCCTTCGGTTTAAGCTCAGCAAGCTGAATGTTAAAAAACTCTCGACTCATTTTCTCATACTGGAAGCTCTCTGTTTTTCGCTTCCACTTCCATATGCACTTCACCTTGGAATTATATCTTTATTTTTGGAAGAAATGTAGCTTTCATTTGATATCAGATGCTGAAGATGACTGCAAAATGTATAACTTACTACCAGATTCATAATCAAAAGCTGTGTTTGTATCAGGCATTTTTCTCATGAAAATTGCTCAATGTACGCATTCTTTTTCTATAAGAAATTATGCCACTCGAACGACTTGCCATCTACATGTTCTATTTAGTGAGTATCATCGTGCGTATATCACAATTAGAGTTTCAAACTATTCAAAATCAAACTCACAAACCCTATAACGATAGCATCCAAGAATTCTAGATTTACCAGATGCAAATAAGGATTAGAATAAGAAACATGCTGTCAAACATTTTAACAAGGAATAAGTTTTGGACTTTTAACGTCCACTGCAAGAGCGAAACAAATTAACGTTCTCATATAAACGAAAATGAAACTCCAAAAGATTTAAAAAAAAAAAAAAGGAAAAAAAAAGGGAATTGGTAGCCCCATCATTCTGAATGAAATGGCTCGGATTTTTTTCGATAAATCTAGTGCAACATTTTAAGAGAGATAATAGGCAACAACCGATAGATATATGATGCATTAAAATTCATCATCATCCTCCTCAGCTATATGTTTAGCAAGCTCTTGCTCTTGCTGTTGTCTCTCTCTTCTCTTCTCTGCACTCTCCTTCTCCTTGTGCGAGTTAGGTGGAAAACGTAGGGCCCGCACCGCTTCATTGTGCATGTTGAGGCAAAAGGCAATCCTCGAATTAAATGCAATCTGAGGCTCGTTTGTAGAGTAAATATCACCAGTCTCTTTTGATACCATCCAACCATTAGCATGATCTAATGTAGCATCAATTGCACCATCTCTGATTGCTTTGGATACAATACTTTCAGCATCTGCAATGGGGTTTGGAGAATCCAATCTCAGCTTCTTTGCAACATCAACTAGCGAAATCTTCGAGTATGAGATGCTAATGTTGCGTAAGCCAGTCCTGATAACATTATGACGTAGCCTAACGATTAAGTTCTTGGTTCCGTCGGAACTGAAAGTGCTAGCAAACTTCTCAGCCACTGATTTGAAGAGCTCTAAATCTCCAATTCGAACAGCCTGAAAAATCAACACATAATAAATCAGTACCAAATTATTGTGGTATAGTAACTTGATCCCAATGGAGAAAACCAATACATGCCCCGAGAAAATTTCAGGAATTTTTCTATAATTAGATAATGAAATTTCTCAAAATCGTCATTTAGCTTATAGGATCAATCAAAACGTCCAACAGCCCAAATAGAATACACACTGTGTTGTCTAAGAAAGATTGACCAAAAATATAACTGCAAACATAAGCCTTACGTTTACATAAAACATGAGGTTAAATGTGACATAATTGTCGGATTGTCAGTAGATATTAGTAAACTTTGAAATTCTGACTCACATTTGTAAGCTCAAAGTATGGCCTCAGTGCCTTTTCCATCCCTTTCTGCATAAAGACAGTTCTTTCTGGAATCTCGCCAAGCAGGAGGCGGACAATCACAGCCCATTTGTTGCATTGAACGCGGAATCCAAGAGCAGAAATGGGTGCTTTCCTGGCAGCTTGGAGTAGGGAATCCTTAGCATCAGTGTACTCCAACTGAATCGTCCTGATTTTTCCAAGGTAAAACAGGTAGCGACAGAACTACAGAGATACAGACAGGATCAGATAAATAAAAATGATGCCAAGAACCAAAACAAAGAAACGGTACTAATTATATTTAATATACAAAAAAAATGCAAGAGGAAAGAAGATAATAACTGATACATGCTTGCAATAAACCTACAGGAAGCAGTTTGCTATTGTTTCCATTTCCTCCACCAAAGAAAAGTCAATGGCTATGCTTAGAGTATACTCAGTTTCCTTCACTTTCAGAATCTTACCATCGAAATAATTCTACACAGTATACTCAGTTTGTACATAAATTCAAAATTCAGAATTAGCATAAGATGTGCTCAAAGTTATCTTCAACTTCGCCATTACATTACACGACCCTTTTCAATTTCTCATCTCTAACTACATAGATGTATTGTTTTTGGTTAGGTTATCCTGGACAAACAAAAAAATTGCAATTCATATTACTACGGATTCCTCTTTGTATCAAACTCCATTTGATACTCCAGTCCAACTAATGATTTCTAATAACACAATGAAAGCATAAAATTCTCTGTTCCAACATTGCAAGCATAAATTAATGGGAAATTTTTTAGAGATTTGCCTGCTGGTTTGAGTGCGCTTCAAAACGAGGAGCCTTTGATCTCAGTTTCTCAGCTTGATCATACAAGTTGTAGTGGAGGTAATTCCTCAACAGTAAGTTGAGAAGAGTTTCCTGCATTATATCAAGCATGCAATTAATTACACAAACGACAACCAAGATGATAAACTAACTGAATCTCCGATAACAAACAAACCTGCCCCAACTCGTCATGGCGCAGAGTTGCAGTTCGGTGCAAAGCAAGAAGATTACTGTCAAGAAAAACTATTCTCCATTAAATAAATGTAAAGCACAACAGCACGGTAAGCAGAGGAAATTAGATCAAACTAATCACCATTAAGAAAAATACTCAAACTGACATTGAGATAAGCATACCCTCGAATTTCAGCAAGGTCGCCAGTCATTTCATAGCTTAAAGAGTAGTAAAAGTAGAGCCTGGATGCTAGTACATCAACAGTTCTTCTATTCAGGTTCCTGAGACGAGCAATGCTCGCGGAAGAGCAAGCTTTAGCCTGAAAATAAATAAGAATCATAAATAGATTACCAAATGTTAAGACATCACTTAAGATGGGAAGCCCCATAGTCCATAGATGTTTGATCATATATAACAATACCTCGCTGTATCTCTTCTGATCAATCAAGAATATTAGAACCACCAAATAGCAGAAGATCTCAAGCTCGGGCAAGGAGTGCTTTGTGGGAGCAGGAGTACCAGATGTTGCGCTATCAACATCCATATCATGCCCATCCTCCTACAAGCATCATGCATCTCGTATAACAATGGTTTATCCATACATTAAAATTCCATTCACCTTCTACATCATCTTAATGATTGCAAAATCAATAGCTAAACAATTAACTGAATTCCCCAGGCAAGACTGACTATACCATTCCCAAACAAGTCAATCTTGTGGAACTTATCGATGACGAAATATACCTAGTGATGGTTTTGTAATTTTTTAAAGTAACACATCAGAAGTTGACATTCATTAGAACAGAAAAATACATATGCAGAACCATAACCTGACGTGAACCAGAAAAAAAACTAGCTCAGATACTGTGAGTTTGAGGCATAAATTAATCCACTTCATTAACATCAAACCTTGTTCACCCACAAAATAAGCAATTAAGGAAACCATCTTTTATAAGGCAATTGCCTACATTCTAGCTAGTTGACAGTCAACTGTGATGGCATGTGAGTTCGGTCAGGTCATACAAAAAAAATCGAGTAGCTTGACTTAATACCAATGTAATCATTTACCTCAATGCAACAATTCACTCAAAAGTGCAACTTCTTACCTTAGGAACATACGAAGACAAGCGCGAATGCACCTCAGATCCAGGCACAAGTGCAAAACTGAGAAATGCAGAAAGCACAGAAGCATTGAGATTCTTTCTCAGCTGAATCGTCCACCGAATAGCCCTCACAATCCTTCGGACCTCCCGAGAGTAAGCTCCCGTCTCAATCAGTGCAGCAATATCCTTCAAATCTAATATAAACAACCAAAAAAACTAGAGTCAAGTCGGATCTAGGGTTTCACTGAGGAAAACAACACAAAAAAAAAACCAGAACTACTCTAAATTAAACTTTTATAACCGAAAAAATCTTCAATAATTCAAACTTTTCAATAGTAGCTATAACTGTACATAATTCATTTCCTACTTTTCTCCTTTGAAATCAATCGAATTAAAAAAACCTTTACATAAGTTCTTCTTCACTAAATATACAACGGAATAATACATCTCTTAGAATCTAACAATCAAACCAAAAACGAACGCAAATAGATTGAACACTTACACTGAAGAGTGGATGGAGAAGGGGGTGCGACTGAATCGGAGGGGGTAGGCTGCTGCTGCTGCTCCTTCATCTCAACGTCTTGAGTCATTTTCGCCAAAATCTGAGAAATCAACGTCAGTAAAATCGACGCATAAAACAAAGAAATAAAAGCCGGAAACTCCATTTTCGTTCCTCTATTCTCTCAGATTAACTCATTTTGTTACCTATTATTCTCGAATTGAAATTTGATCTGGACCGATGTGAAAAAGCTACTACTAGGTTTTGATTACTTTCTTTGGCTACACGTTAGAGGATAAAAATGAATATCTTCCTAAATTGAAAAGAACAAAAGAAAATTGAACAGCAGATAAAGCAAGAAGATGAGAGAGTAAAGGCGAAGAAGAATCCGAACCTGAGATTCGATGATTTTGGTGTGCGAATTTTGAAGAGAAACTCTGGAGCTGAAGGGCTTGTTTGCTTGCTTTTGGGGGTTTTTTCTCAAACTAAAGCAGAAAAGAAAGGACTCGTTGCCCGTATTCAAGCGATGGGGTCAATTTGGTCATTTTAGCGAGTTTCTTATGCACTACTCCATACCTTTCACAATTTCTACAAATATCTCATTTGTTCTAAATAAATGAAAAATATTAATTATATTGTTATAGAAATTCGGTTAAAATCGGGCAGATCGTATCGGATTTAAAACTTTTGAAAATTTTCTAATTTTTTGAAAAGTAAAACTAATTTCGATTCCGTTTCAAAAACATCTCAACACTCGAAAATCGAAATTTCATAAATTGGAATGAAGAAAATTGTTCTAAAATTAAAAAAATTCAGATCATAATCAACGGAATTCCGGAATTCTATTTCTTTCACACATGTATATTATAAAATATATCATGATATTGATATTATAAATTGCAACTTTTTTTCACCTACATTATCAACATTTCAAATTAATAATAATTTTCTTGATATACTCCAAACATCACAAAATTCATTCATCAAACTTTCAAGAATCATTCAAGTTTGCCACAATCAAAATCAGACATCTTCAACAAAAAAGCAGCCAAGAATCTAGGCACCAACTTATCTCTCAAAAAGCTAATCAAAACCCCATCACTCTGCTGCACAAACCCCACCAAATATGCTACACTGACAACCTTAACACTTCTCCATCTCCTCTCTTTACCATACTTCTTCAACCCCATAACAATCCTCTCGTATTCCTCGATTTGTCCTTCGCCGTTTCCGTGGGCCCCACAAACACTCGATTCTCCTTTAAAAGCTTCGCCTAAAACCCTAGCTAAAACGACCGCATCCTCTAGAGCCAAACAACCGCCTTGTCCAATATCTGGTGTCATTGGATGTAGCGCATCACCTGCTATACATACGGTGTCTTTACTTATATTTCCACGCAGCAACTCCCATGGATGTCTGAATTTTAACTCGGACCATATCATTTTGTCTGAATCGGTTTTTTCGAAAACAGCCCTTATTTCGTCGGAAACGTTTCCGAGCTTACTCAGCACGAATTGCTTCATTTTCGCAACATCTTTTTCTATCCCTTCTTCTACATTAAAAAAACTCATCACTTCATGTAAGAAAACCACAAAAAAAAAAAAATTGATTTTTTTTTAATACTACCTTGTGGGGAGGGTATATACGTAAAAAACCAATAGACACCATGGTCATCGCACGGAGTGACACCAAATCTAACACCATTTCCGAAGAATTGAAGGAACTTAGGCTCAAAACCATGGCCTTCTTTACAATATACATAGCCTCGAATTGATGCTCGCCCGACCAATGACGGCTTACTAAAGCCTAGATATTTTGCCACGACCGAGTTTACTCCATCACAACCAATCAAAACCTTACATACAAGAGAACTGGTCAGTTATGTTATAGATACAATCTATAGACGCACCAATATAAACGATGGCTTATTCATCACCTTAGTTTTGAGAATAGTTCCGTCGGACAGATGAATTAGCTTGAGAAAACCGGAATCTTGGATATGTACAACTTTGGAGGAATATCTAATGGTTCCTGGAGGAAGCTCATTACTTAGGGTTTCAATCAGCACTTTCCTATTAATTCGTCGTACTTCATGACCACCACTGCAAATAACAAAATTACGCCAACATCCCAAAATAGAAAAATAAAAAATAAAACAAAAAACAAAAAATCCCAATGGGGATATTTACGAAACTCACTCAAAAGACAGTTCTGCAGTTGGTAATCCCGATACGACCGATGTACTAACTAGTCTACAAAAACGAGTATCGTAAATGTAAGAGCCACGACAGAGTAATATATAAATTTTGGTTCCCAAGACAAGATTAGACACGATAATAATTCAATAAAAAACATGCGTAGATGGTAACATAATATTTGGGTGTCGACCCAGGAAAGTTATTGGGGATAACAAACATCAAACAAAGTCCTATTATATAGTTAATCATGACTAATCTCCCCAACCAACCAAACGAGGTCTTAGTAATCAATGCAGAAATATTGAGGAGGAAAATAGGAAGGTACCTAGTGAGGTGTTGGTGATTTTGACGAAGAATATCGGAAACGGCAACGGCATCTAATGCATTCCAAGCATTAGTCCACAATGCGAAAGCAAAGCCGTAAGTCCTCAAAGTATCTGATGACTCTAATACCAAGCTTCCAATTCCCAATCTATATTAAAATGAAATGAAATGAAATTTTATTTACTTAGAATATTCTAAGTAAGAAAGTTACCTGTAGAGTCCTAAGGATGTAGTGAGGCCAGAAATTCCAGCACCAACAATAATTATGTCTTGTACAACTTCTTCCATCACCATTCTAGAATTTATATATATACCCCTACGGAATCAGAATTATGGAATATAAATCAGCATGAATTCAAACACAAGTTTAGAAAAAGAAATAAGAAAATACCTTTTCCGTTTATATTTTGACAGAGAAGAGGCAACTGCATTCTTCTTTTATTTCTCCGTGTGATTGGTGCTTGCTTCCCCTGATGTGGCAGCGTAGCAATCTGCCACGTGTCTTGAGTACATAGCAGCTGGGAAAATCTTGTGGTCCAAATAAATTATACAGGAAAGAAGACAAAAAGGAGGAGAAGAATTTCATTTCGTGCTTGTGGGCTTATTATTGTTTATAAATTAAAACTTATAAGTTATAATTATAAATAAATTATTATTTGAAATTAGTTGAGCTCAAATAAATATGCACACACCCACACACACACATATATATTTTCTTCATCACTAGCACCCTATTTAATGAACAAAAAATAAGAAATTTGGTTACATCATCATAATGAAAAATGAATCCTGGATTATAAACTAATTTAATCATAAATCATTAAAGCATTATGAAATATAACATTGCAAACTAATTAAATAATTAATCCTAAGGCAGAAGCCATGTAAAGTAGATATATTTTGCCACTATCAAGAAGTCAAACACTTTTCAGCATACAATGACCATCCAAACTCAAAATTACACCATCTCCTAAAAAGCAAAATTGCACAAGGCTGCTGTATTAGCCACACACTTTCTAGCTGCTAGGAGGAAATCGAGCCTCGTAATCTTGGTGAAGCTGCAAGAAAAAACAACGCGAGTTTGTGGTAAAATCTCGTACATTATCGAAATCAAAAAAATCAAAAAATAAAAAAGGTTAAACATTGATTATTACCATGTAAGTTGCAGTGATCATCTTTCCAGCAAACCACCTACCATGGAGTGCACGCTGTGCAGCCATTGCAGCTTCCGTATTCTCAAACCGCAAGTATACAAACCCAGCTGAGTTCCTATTTGTCAAATAAAGTAATATTAGCTCAATCTACTCTCTCAATAAGCATTCAAACTATAACAAGTAAACACATCATTGCAAAAGGAAAAAGGACACTGTGATCGGAACCTACTTAAGCGTGTTCTTTGGTGGGTAAAATAAGCTGTGGTTAACTGAATAATTTAGGTCTTATTCGATGTTTGGTTCATCAATAAATTTTCGGTCGATCTGGAATTATGAGAAAAATGAGTTCCTATTGCAGAGTTGTGTGTTACTGTGCCTAGAATTGTATACTCTTATTTTGACTAATCCTATCTTGGAATCCAAACGAGGCCTTACACAAAAAGCTATTAATCAACCCAATTGATACGAAAGAACGCAAATGACGGAACGTAATTTATGGCCACTAAACGGTTAAAGCTAAGATATGAACTTACTTTTCTACATAGATATGCTTTAGTCTCCCAAACTTGGAACATTCCTCTTGCACATCTTCCTTTATATCGAGATCAAAATCTGGCTCAACCTGCAAATTGAAACGAATCCTCAATTTCAAGCAGATTCAAAAAGGGACTAAGAAACAAGATAGACCAGGTAGTTCTACCAACCTCAGAGCTGGGATCAAACATGTTCTTGAGCAATAAACATTCACTGGGTACACCAGTGTCTATCGAAGAAGCAGTAAGAGCAGGCATAGCCAGACCTGCAGCTGCCAACCCAGGAAGCAAAGCAACAGAAGTTTGTCCAAAAACTGGTGGTGCTCCGAAAACTGGTGCTGCTGGTGGACCAGTGATGCTGCAGAAGGTGAAAAACAATGTTAGACAATTAGATAAAATGGAACATAAGAAAACAATCGGAAACTGAAATGTGGGGTATTAACCTTGAAGCAGTTCCAGTACGATCCAATTTCTGCATAAGAAGTGCCCGCGAGTGTGCATTCAAGGACTGCCCAACATTGTGTACCAGATCAGGATTTTGAGTAAAACATACATGAGAAAACTATGGATATGCACAAAATAAAAGACAGCTAAAAGAGTAATCTATATACAAGATCACAGAAAATAATAAACACGTTAAGTGCAAATGGCTAATCATGACTAACCAATCCGCTGCCCCCGTCATCATCAAAATCAGCAATATTTGCCCCAACGTCTTGCATTCCAGCTTGATCAGTGACAGCAGACACCTACAGATTTAAGAAAACTACATAAGGAAACATGATATAAATAACTATACTAGAAACATTTTTTTACAATCATCTAACTGTCTATACATATACGCCCAGCAAGCTAAGTTGGAGGTAAATGCTGATGTGAAAAATGCAGAGAATGCTTCAGCTTGCCATTCCTTAACTATCCAGGAATAGAGCTGAAATACAGTCTCCAAGCAATCTCATGGGAACAGTAATACAATTTCCTCATAATAATGAATGATACAAAATGTGACTGATATCCAAAGAAAGGTAGGAGTCTTTTTCTCATGACACTACTTTTAGGAATCTCTTGGAAATTGCTCGTAGAAAGTGATTAGACTAATTGATGAAGAAGAGGAAACTGGATATTATTACTACCTTGATCACTCGACCAGCAATCTCCAATTGACCATTTAAATTTTGAGCAGCCTTTGCATCTTCAAGACGTGCATACTGCCGATAAAACAATGTCAGATAAGCATTTACAATTCAAAGTCGCAAAATCTTCAGAATACAAACTACACAAGTGTTTGACGGCGTCGGATTTTTCTATTTCCTACAATGGCTTTTTGTTGCACCAGGAATAACCAGCTATACAAGAAAAAACTGTCCTCCGCCAAATTGACAGTCATATTATAGCAAATTCAAGTTCACCTGTATGAAAGCAAAACCTTTGCAACTCCCAGTCCCTGGGTCAACGGGCATCTGCACCAGCTCAATAGTGCCAAAAGCTTCAAATACCTAGACAAAACGTGGAATGTGTTAATCTCATCTTTGTCATTACAAGACAGGTCTTAAAAACTACAAAGCCAATTAGTATCTGTTGATCCAAAATCATATCAACATGACAATTCAATCACAAGCATAGAGATGTTCAACCTGGCGAAGCTGATCTTCTTTGATAGTGAGTGGCAGATTGCCAACATACAGCTTTCTAGCACCCCCGGAATATGGGCCAAGAAGCCCACCTCCTACAGGGACCGCAGCAGTTGACTGAACAAGATTCTTCTCAGCTTCTGACGGCTTAACCATCACAGGTGTACCAAGAAGCGGCTGTCCAGATAGAGCTATTGCCATAGGAACTGACATTGAGTCATAGAATTCAACGTATCTGCAAAAATGTAGAAGTTAAAATGAGAACTAAAAGTAGATGATAAAAACATAATAACATTACAACAAATAAAATCATGGGATAAAACACAATAGATCATAGCCAGGCGCATTGTGTACCCATGCAAGTGAAGTTATCCACAATTACAAAAAGAAAAATAAGGATCATGGATGAAAAATCTCTGGACTCCAACAAAAAATTTCTCATTGATACTCTACAGCATACTTCAGAACACTTTGAAAGCCTAAATAAGATATACTTCTCTCTCAGATCTTTACAAGCTCATTCTTCAGTCCGAGGAATCATCATCCAGGGCATATCCCAAATAAAAAACCTCAATAATATGGTTTCGCACATAATATAATTAAAATTGTCAATATCACCCCTGTGCATTCAAATTCAGCTCATAACAAGTTACCGATAATAGCTGTTGCCTGATACTAGTAACTTCGACGAAATAATGAATAAGAGCCATAGAAGCATTAAGATTTACGAGGAGAATGTAATTGCACTTCAAGCAAATAAACACAAGTAATGAACACTAAATATATCTAGCTTCTCTCTCAAGCAAGGAAAATTACCCAACTCCTTTGGAGCGTCTGGTATTACGATCCATTATGAGCTGTACATCTCTAACCTGAACTTATCAAATAAAGCATCATGATACACTTAAAAGTTAAAACATAAATCGTGAAGTATTAAAAGGAATGCAATGGCAAAGAGATATCATGGACAAAAGGAAAAACGTGCAGCACTTATAACTTCATAGTAAGTTTTGTGTACACATATTATTTTCTCAGATGCTGGAAAAGAGAGGGACTAAAGACAAATCAGTTCTAAGATGAATGAGATCTATAGACAGTCAGAAACTCAACCAATTATAATAATATGTAGGTCTACCTTGCCAGCCCGAGAGAAGAATTCATAGACATCCCGTTCCCCAGCTTTCAAGGAAATCTACAGAAATTGTAACACAGAAGTAAGACATCCAGATGCAATTAAACAATAAAGAAAGAAACTACGTATTGCAGTTCAAATACCTGATAAGCAAAAACTGTCCTCTGATCTCGTTCAGGATCAGCTTCTGCTTCCCCTCCTTCTTCCTTCTTCTCTTTGTATCTCCTACAGAGAAATGAAAAATATAAAGCTGTAATACCACGGTACCTCACAATAACCAGAAAATTGTCTCGCTAACTAACACATGAGCCGCAGCGTTGACCATCTGCAGGGTAAAGCCAAAGTAAAATGCTTTGTTCCCTAAAATAATTCAATAATGTGGAAACTTCCACATACATAAAAGATAATTGTTCCACAAGGAAGCAAAAAATTCTCCAGTACGCTAAAATGAGCCAAACCCATGATCACAATCCTGCAGGCAACTCCATAGCGTCAATTGTTGTACTAACTAACATGGTCAAAACAAGAAACATCTTGATATTGAAGTAATAAGACCAACCTGGCTAAAAAAGTGCCAATTAAGAGAAATTTGAACACGGAAAAACTTCAGGCATTGAACTAACGGGCTGGTCCCTCTATGGCAAACCTAATTTTACATTTTGCACCAACATATTAAATAACAACTTCATCATAGTATGACAAATATATCATAATTCAATATAAACAAACAACTCTTAACCAGCAGAAGAACCACATCCAAGAGTATCAACCCGGTTTTTAGCACAGGCAAAAATAGGATATAAATTCCTAGAATCAGAATACTGAAGCAGGTACATCATCGTATCCCAAAACATAATAAGTAATTTTAGGACAGTACAAAGCAGAATTTATCGAGCTAAATAACCTTAAAGGACGATAAACTATCAGAATGGCAAGGGCATTCATTTCTGATATGAAATCAATTTCTATTACCATGCCCGTGAATTTTCAACTATGTGACTTCCAATATAATACACAATCCAGCAAAAAATCCCAAGACAAGAATTATGTATCTAATAAGTACATCAAGTTTATTATCCGTCTTAATATCTCTTACATAGAAAAGGAAATGCACAAGTTACCTGCTTCCATTGTCTCTGTCTCTAAAGTCCCTTTCTCTTCTTCTTTCTTGAGGTTCTTTATCTACAATCTCCATATCCCTACTCTTTTCTCTTCCCTGTTCATCGTTATGCCTCTCTGAGCGACTTCTGCTTCGATGAGACCTCTCTCTATTACCATCGATTTTCTTGTCAACATCCCTCTCTCTTTCATATTCACGTTCTCTCCTCTCTCTATTACCATCCCTTTTCTTGTCACTGTCCCTCTCTCTATCTCTATCTCGATCTCTATCCCTATCTCGATCTCTATCCCTGGTTCTCTCCTTTTCACTTCCCTCCTCCTTGTCCCTCGTTCTATGCTCCCTACTACTCGTGTGTCTGTCCTTTTCACCTTTCTCCCTATCTCTGGAAGACGAGCCATAGCGCGAGCTCCTTCTATCTTTCTCGTGGTCATTAGACTCTTTTCTTGACCTCGATCTCTTTGACAGGCGCTCCAAGTCATCACCATCATCATCACTTGTGTGCTTCGAACTCCGACTTCTATCTTTCTCTTTAGACTCAGCTATTCGATGGCCCCCATTCACCTTATCCTCCGATTTCTTAAGCTCTGGATTTTCCACTGTGTTTTCCAGGTATTCATACTCGTCAAAATCCATTCTATAAAAACTCAGAGCCAAGCAATTCCACAAAAACTTCACAAATTTCTGCATTAACCAAGCAAACCACCAGAAATTAGAACATCAAAAACAAATTATTATTGGATTAAATACAAGTCTATAACCACTTCACTCGTTCATCTACGAATATATCTAAACATTTCCTCAACAATTTCACCAGCAGTGTGAATCAAAATTGATGGCACTTGATAACTATAAACAAAAATTCATAACTTGAGAGCATTGCTTCCACTAATGGAAAGATAATTGAATTAGAAAAAACCAAATACACTTCAAAACCCTAAGATTTACATGTATAATTGAACGAAAAAACATATAATAATAGCAAATTAGGGTTTTACACTGAGAAGTATGCTTTCACCAGGAGCGTTCCGAAAACCCGAGTTCGAGCGGAGTACAGTGCAGCAAAATTTCTTTTCTAAACAAAAAAATAGCAGAGAAATTCGAGAAATCGCTGCTTAAATGATTATTACAAAAAGCGCAGACGACTTTAAGTTTAGACGTTAGATCTCGATGTTCATTGTTGTGTGACAACTGGCTTCCATATACTCCCCCAGTTCAGATGGGCTTTTTGGGCTTTGAGCCCAAACATCAAATTTTCTTTCATTAATTAAATCTTAATTTTATATTTAATTAGTATAAAATAGTTTTTTGAATGGCCCATAGTTATAAAAATAAATTTCATATTTCTCATTGCATAATTATACAATTTACTCTCATAAGTTACAAGACATTTTTATTTAAAAAAAAAAAAAACCACATTCAAATATGTGATTCAATAAATTTCGACTATAACAAAACATCAACACTTACACTAACCTCACAAGTCACAAGACAGTGGCATTTTCCTGCTCCCTTAATTATAACAAAACATTCTAACACTTTGACAAAAAATGGGGAAACTGCTTTAGATTACCCATACCTCCCAAAATCAAGAAACCGTAAGTTTAAATAAATAATAGAGTGCACAAAAAATCATCGTCTATGATTTTCATTCGTGTTTGGAATCACATTCGAGTTATCTCTATTAAACACTCCCCATTTTCCTTGACCTGAGTTATCAACACCAGGAGGCCCTCTGTGCACCCTCGGATCTGTTGACATTTGACTTTGACTTCTGGCAGTGTCAGAGGGAACGCTCTTCTTGTATCGGTTATTTTCTCCAGGTATATTTTGTTCACGTGGTGGTGGTGGTGGTGGTGGTGGTGTATTCCTCTGTTGCTGCTGCCCAGTAAAAACACCGTAACTTTTATTCGGTGAATTGGGAATACTCGAGCGAGAAGAAGAATCTTGCTTAGAAACCTCAACTTGCAGATTTGGTCTCCTTTGAGGCGGTGCGTTCACACTAAACTGAGGCTGATTTCCATGGTTCGGAATATTAGGAACACGATTATTGGTGTCTGTAGGAATCCCAGGTGGTTTTCCAGACCTAGGATCTCTCGCATACCTGTTTGCCACTGGAGGTGCTGCAGGCTCAACTACAGTTCTTGGACTTCTATTTGAAGAATATGGCGAAGGGCCTGTTATAACGGGCTCTGGATTTTTGTGGGGACCGTTATTAACTTCGTCATTAGTGTTAAAAACTGCAGGGATGATGACGTCATCGACTTCATCGGACAGTTCTTCGGATTTTGCATGCTCAGTTTCTATAGTTGTTTCTCCGTTTTCTTGGTTTTCAGTGGTGGCAGCATTAGAAGAAGCTTTCTTTCCTGGACCATTTTTCAAGGGGCCGAATTTGATGTGCCTCACGACAAGGCATGCCTGTTTTTTTTCGATCAGTGGTTCACATTCTCTAACGGCAACATCTTCAATCTGATGTTAACAGGTGTATGAACATACAGTGAGAAAAAAACAAACGGGAACATAATAAATTAACAAGAATACGGAATGGGAGCGATTAAACTCTTACCAGAGCAGCAAAGCGATTTATTAAAGTCTCCAAGTCCAGATCACTGGTAGGCTCAGCGGCCACACACTATCAAAGACGTAAACATGTAGTAATTAGTTACTCAAAGGTTTATAGACATTTATTAACCTTAACCGACCAATCCAAAAGTTCCAGTTTCATATTTTGCTTTCAGTTATCAGATAAGTAGAAGGCATAACTATGTACTACCGATCCTTGAGGCAAAATTTGGTTTTATTGAGAAAAAATGCTGCGCAGAATATTTTAACCAAACATGTAGCAGCCTCGTGAAATTAATATGCAACATAGGGGCAATTTAGGCACATAGCTTATCAATTGCTTATTTGGTATAGAACTAAAGTGCCAAAAAAACCCCAATAAAGAGAAATGGCTTCGAGAATGTGAATGGAATAGTTGATCCCTTATAGAAAAGTGCGAGTTTGGGAGATAAACACATAATTATCGTCAAGTAAATTTGGCCAAGACTACACAGCAGAACAATAGATGCTTCATTGTGTTTGTAATGCAGGCCGACTAATCCAAGACAGTAGCCTAGAAATATCTGAGAGAGAGAGAGAGGGAATACCTTGACACGATAGCCACTTGCCATGAGTCTCTTAGCCATATCAGCTTTGACTTGCAAGTCATTTGGTTTCTGGAACCAGCAAAGTAATTGGTGGTCAGAAAGGATAAACACAGCATTAACCTAAATGAGCTAAAGTTAAAAAAAAAATCGAAGAACCATTATGGTTAATCAAAAGCATCTCTTAGCTTCCTTTCAAGCTAGTATCAGACCCTTCCACTAGAACTGGAGAAGAAACTTAAAGTAACTACTCAACTTGTACACACACATATTATGAATGGGTTATCACTGTGGAAAAAACTTTACATCTTCTCCTATGGTTTTTAAGTACTATTGTTCTATTAGACGTCACACTAAATCTGCTTAGTTTTTTACTTTCAAAGTTGTCATTGAGATATTCGGAAATAAGCTTGCAAAACTTACAATTTTAGCCGTAAATCGAACTTCTTTACAGGCTTTCTTGAGTGTAGACTGCAAAAAAGTAGTTGAAAAAATAAGATAGAGAATATAATAAACACAATTATATGCATTCAACATTCAATCTTACAGCTTCTTCTTTTGATAGACCCAAGTGTATCTCATAGTAGGAGAACTAGAAATTCCTAACTCTTATTGACTTAATATATTCAAACAAAATAAGTATGGATTTTGAATGGCATGAAGATTGAGTTTCTAAAGAGTCCCACCAAGGTAAATCCCAAAATCAGCAAAACTTAATGTGTTATTATACCTTATTTTTAGAACGTTCCCTTTCCTTTGTTTGTTGAAGGTACTTTTCTTTGTTGTAGTCAAAAATTTTGCAAACTGGTGGTTTGGAAACCATATCAACCTGCAGAATAAGCAGAAAATTCAGAGATTAAAGCAGGATCAAATTTTCTCTCATGCAATGTGCTAGGATATAAAAGTACATCTATCGGAACAGACACAGGACTTTTCATTTTTTATTTTTTTTGCTCTATACTTTTTGCTCCATATAGCTCTTTGCATTTATATCCATGTTCTTTGTTATTTCCAAATGCTAAGAGAGAAACGAAATTCACATATTTGGAAGGAAATAATTCCATTCTAATACCACAGTTCGGTAAAAGTAAAAATTGTAAACCAGAAGCTTGCTTCAATAATTTATTTTCTCAAGAATCAACGAAAATTATGAAATACGAAACATTACCAGAACCAAGTCCATCTTTAGATCTTTTGCTCGGGCTAGTGCTTCATGCCTTGATATGACATAATGATCTGCAAATACACATGTGCAGCCACGTTAATGGTGATTAGATGGTTTCCGAGATCAAAGAAAAAAAATGGCTACTGTATCTTCAAAATGGTAGATGGGATTTATGGGTACCTTAAAAATGCTTTAATACCATTATAGACTGAATATGGGAGAATTCACGTTTTTTGTTTCTCATCGATACGGTAGCATATATACACAATCAAATCCTAGTCAACAATTCTATCTAAAGTGCTGTTGCAATATTTATCTAAAAGGTTGCTGACAATTGACATGTATATACAAATCATAAGTTACAAAAGTAATAGAGATAATATTCATCCAATGTTATGAAGAACATGTCCAATTAAAACACACTCCAAAATAATACATGAGTCAAGTTCATCCAATTCTTTGGACATTTTGTATTAGTTTTTCACCAAGACATAGAAGCAAATTATTTCCCGTCAGTAACACATAATCAATCTCTCTCAAGCAATGAACTGTAATTTTAAGTTTGATTAGTCAAGATCGATGCACCACAGACCTTCATCAGTGACAAGCCTAATCAACGGAGCTGTGATTTGTTCATTCAATTTAATCCCGCTTTCGTCCTTCTCTTCCTTCTTTTGATACTGAAAAATATCGGCCAGAAAGTATAAAAATCATTTTTTTTCCAATTGAATCATTAATACATACACGAATATAACATACGAGCCCTTAATTACCTGAACAGGAGCTGCATAGGATCTGACTTGACGGAAAATCTCCAATTGGCTAACCTGCGCGGCGAATTTAGGGTTATCTAAAACCGGAATTGAGGCGCGTGACAAAATGCGTTGATCGGAGACGATTGGGCCATGGTTTAGAGTGTAACATCTCCTGAATTCGTCCGAAAATATACGCAAATTAAGCTTCAATTGCCTCAATCTACTCCAGAAAACCATAGTTAGCAAGCAAATTCTGATACTGAAGTGGTTTGAAGCAAGTTATGGAAGAAGCCCTAATCAACCATTGATGAAGAACTTGACGGGAAATGAGGGCAGTCAAGCTTGGAGCGACGGAGCTGCTGCTGATTTAATGGGCCCGAGAATATTCAAATGGGCTTTATAAATTTGTGATCAAGTTTATTTTTTAATTATGAAAAAAAGCCCAATCCAGTTGTATATAATTCCTTAGACTGGAGCCCAATTTATTTTATTTAGGAAACAAATACCAAAAAAAAAAAAAAAACCTTATATTTTAAAAAAATAATTTAAAAATTCTCAAAATAAAAAATATTAATACTAAGTTATCCAAAGTCAACTTTTAATTAATCATATTATATTTTATTTAGTGGACTAAATATTTTGGTATTTTTTCCAGAATTATAAAAACAAAATGACCTGTTCATTTGGTTGATTTTTATGCCATTTTGACCAAGTAAAAACTTAAGGATGTAGAAAGGGATTGATTTCCATCATAATTTAGAAACAAAACGAGATGCCGATCGCACGTTTCATAATTCAGTTTTACCGCCATTGTATGCAACTTGATAAGCCGGAAGCATTTCATTTCGTCCAAATCTTCTAGAAACATCTCGCATGAACCCTTTATTTGCCCAAAAAAGTCCACACGCATTGCACAAAGTCCTCGGTCCAGTCGGCCCTTTTCGCATTAGTGGCGTATCATTCGAAATAATTCCACAATTAGTACACGCAATATTGTCTTCATGATCCGATAAATTAGGGCTCATAGAAGCTTCTTCTTCGATCTTCTTGGGAGCAAACTGTCCTCTCTTTCGTTGCATTCGCATTGCAACTTCTTGACGAACATTATATCGTATCTTCTTCTCGAAGCAACGCTTCATCTTCTTGCTACGATACCTATTTATAAACTCTTCTCTTTTCGGACATTTATTTTTGTTTTGAGAGGTCGAGCCATTAGTATCGCAACCAAGTTCATATCCTCCCAATAGTAAAAGCGCAATTTGGACCTTTTGAGGCGGCACATCATCGAAAACAAAGACCCGATCATGGAACGAGAGCGTGATCCGGTGTGGAGGAACATTGGGTGGAACCTCATCACTAGCCATTCAAATTTTAATGATCTTAGTTGTTAATGAAATTACAATGTATATATGTGTGTAAACATTCCACATGCATTTGTGTGTGGTGTGATTAAATAGGACACAGACTAATCCTAGAACATTAGTTTGGTTAATTTGGTACACATGCATGATTCGTACAAGAAGTTCTCCAAACTTCCAAAATGTTTAAAACATGCAATAGAACAAACCCTAACTGTAAAGTTATACCAAGAAAAAAAAACATGCATGATCACATGTTCTATAAAATTATGTGGATTATACTAATTTTTTTCGTTGAAAAATACCCAATACACATTGTATAAAAAAAATTCATCTAGATAATAAATTATTTTTAAAATAAATGTATTTTAGATTGTTTATAAAATAAGGTTTAAATAATAATTGAACCCCAAAAAATAGTCACTTTCGTAGGCAAGTTGCCCAGAAATAATAATTGCAATAGTTAAAAAAGAATGGCCCAAAATTAAATAACAAATTGAGCAGAAGTGGAATAAGGCGAATCAGACTGTACATTAGTGGGACTTGCTGAAATACACTTGTTAGGTATGTGTTCATATCTTCTTTTGCTTTTTCATCCCCCCACCTTTCTTCCAATAATAACTTTTAAAGTATATATTCCTACCTATTTAAATAATAATATTTCCATCCATTATTATTATTATTATTATTATTATTATTATTATTATTATTATATAAATAAATTATAATAATAATAATAGTATCAATAAAAATGTTATCACTTCATTCCCTAAAGATTGAGAAAAGGCATATATAATATGAGTTTATCTGGTATAGGATTGGGTGATGGTTTAATTCATATAATAATCGCATTATCCACTTTGGTTGGATATTAAATATTATACTATCATTTTTTTATTTTTTTTAAATGATTATCATAGAAAATAAATAAATAAATTGTTGGACTTCAGATATAAGTAACACAGTGCTGTCACTTAAAGTATTCAGAATACTGCACTTTGCAAAATTTTCCTCTTTTCTTCATGGCAATGCAACATTATGAAAGTCAAAATAAATAAGGTTGGAAAAAGGAAATAAATTAATATATATAATGCAAATATTTTTTATTTCTTTCTAAAGTATTAAAAGTATGCGGTGTCTAATAACTCAGAGTTCGATTTTCACTATCGATATTTTTTAGATCGAACTCGTCTCGTAAGATTTGTCTATACGATTTAACACTTCTCTAATTTATGGCTATTGTACGAGATTTTTTTTATTTTTTTTTTACAAGACTACATCAATTAAATGGAGCCTATTTAGTATTTAGGCTTTGGAACTAACATATTTATTTGGATTTGTTTGGACCTGAGCCCATTACTAATAATATAGGCAACAAGCATGAATTATATAATTTAGAAAATACTAATTGACTATTGGCTATTAGGGCAATAATTAAAAGAATTAAATAGCAAAAAAGAAAAAAAAAATTGTCCCTACACAAATGAGAATTAATGCAGTGGGATTGAACAAAACAAAACTCAATCATGAAACATGATGGATTGCAATCAATATTATCAATCTCTCTACATATTAATTAGCTGATCTCCATTTTCAAATATAATAAATTCTATTTTCTGAAAATAAATAATATTTCTTAAACAAAAAATCCTAGTTGAAAATACGATGGGACATTGAATGAAATGACATCGATGCAAATTATTGTACTGGAATCCAAAAGCTGGCTCTATATATATATTGTTAATGTACATTCTTAGGAAATAAGTTAGGGATTTGATTTGATATACTTTACATAAGTTAGGGATTTGATTTGATATACTTTACATAAGTTAGGAGATTTGATTTCATTGTAATTGGTAATTTCCTTGTATAGCTTTCTCTCTATGTGTATAAATAGTGCCTCCTATGGAGAAGAATGACATCAATTTTTTTCCTCAATTCTATTAACATGGTATCAGAGCATTATCTCTGATCTTCTAGCAATTTTTGGTTTCCCTATGGTGTTTTCATCTTATTCGTTTCTCGCTTCCGCCGAAACACCATAAAACCACTGTTGTGCGTGCGTCATCGCTCCGATTCAGATTCTGATCATACCACCAAGATCGTCGTTAAACGATCTACTCATCGGTGAAAATCAGACTGCCATCGGAGACCGCACGCGCCCTCACGAGCCCCTCGAGCTTGGTTTGCCAAATTCAGCTCCACTATATCTCATTTGGGTTACCATTTGGGTTACTCTGCCAGTTCTTATGATTCTGCCTTATTTCTCCGTCGTACTGACAAAGGCTCCATCTTGTTATGATTCTGCCTTATTTCTCCGTCGTACTGACAAAGGCTCCATCTTCCTCCTCTTATATGTGGATGATATGATCATAACTGGTGATGATCCTAGTGGAATTCAAGAATTGAAGGATTTTCTGAGTCATCGTGATTTGGTCTACAACCTCAAGTTGGTTTGTCACCCTCCTTGAGGTTGAGGGGGGCTGTTAATGTACATTCTTAGGAAATAAGTTAGGGATTTGATTTGATATACTTTACATAAGTTAGGGATTTGATTTGATATACTTTACATAAGTTAGGAGATTTGATTTCATTGTAATTGGTAATTTCCTTGTATAGCTTTCTCTCTATGTGTATAAATAGTGCCTCCTATGGAGAAGAATGACATCAATTTTTTTCCTCAATTCTATTAACATGGTATCAGATCATTATCTCTGATCTTCTAGCAATATTTGGTTTCCCTATGGTGTGTACATCTTATTCGTTACTCGCTTCCGCCGAAACACCATAAAACCACTGTTGTGCGTGCGTCATCGCTCCGATTCAGATTCTGATCATACCAACAAGATCGTCGTTAAACGATCTACTCATCGGTGAAAATCAGACTGCCATCGGAGACCGCACGCGCCCTCACGAGCCCCTCGAGCTTGGTTTGCCAAATTCAGCTCCACTATATCTCATTTGGGTTACCATTTGGGTTACTCTGCCAGTTCTTATGATTCTGCCTTATTTCTCCGTCGTACTGACAAAGGCTCCATCTTGTTATGATTCTGCCTTATTTCTCCGTCGTACTGACAAAGGCTCCATCTTCCTCCTCTTATATGTGGATGATA